TTTTGTATTTACTAAGTTGTTTTTTCATCTTAAAAAAAAAGCGACATTAATTTCTTGACGACCTAATATATATGATTTTTCTATTTCCTTTATTAAAGGATTGTTTTTAGGTATTTGATACCATTTTAGTTTAAATTTAATTAAATCTATAATTAAAATGTTTATGTGTGTGTGTATGATTAAATTCAAAATTTAACGTATATTTTGATAAATACCTGAGTTTTGTATTTTTAGTTATTTGTTTTAATCTGAATTTCATCAAATTTGTTTGTCTGTCCATAGCAGAATCTAAAATTTTCAAAATCAATCCATTTATTTATAGTTATTTGCTTTACCCTACATTTATTTATAGTTTTTTCCTTTACCCCTACATTTATTTATAGTTTTTTTCCTTTACCCCTACATTTATTTATAGTTTTATCCTTTACCCCTACATTTATTTATAGTTATTTGCTTTACCCTACATTTATTTATAGTTTTTCCTTTACCCCTACATTTATTTATAGTTTTTTCCTTTACCCCTACATTTATTTATAGTTTTTTCCTTTACCCCTACATTTATTTATAGTTTTTCCTTTACCCCTACATTTATTTTGTTTACTGGTATACTTATTTACTTGAAACCGGTTTCTAATACATATATTTTTTACTTAAAACGTCAGCATTTTTGTTTTGAAAATCTTGATTTTAAACCGTCTGGATAAAGTTTTTGCTTTTAAAATAAAATATTTTTCCTTTTCTGTTAAAAGATTTTCATAGTAAGTGTTATCCAAAATAGTTATTATTGAGAGAAGGTTTATTAAAATGATCTATTTCAGTAGAATGGGGAAAGATATTATTATTATTATTATGAGATCTATGTAGGTTAATCCTTAGATGTAAAAGATTAGTTGTTTGTCCTACATATTCAAGACCACGTATACCATAAGTTAGTAAATATTGAACCTACATATTGAACACCAGTCCTACATATTCAAGACCACGTATACCATAAGTTAGTAAATAAATTACATTATCTACTTAACATATTGGTATATCTTGCACTAAGTGCTGGCCCGGCATGGCCAGGTGGATAAGGCGCTCGACTCGCAATCTGAGGGTCGTGGGTTCGAATCCCCGTCACACCAAACATGCTCGCCTTTTCAGCCGTGGGGGCGTTATAATGCCACTAGTCGTTGGTAAAAGAGTAGCCCAAGAGTTGGCGGTGAGTTGATGACTAGCTGCCTTCCCTCTAGTCTTACACTGCTAAATTAGGGACGGCTAGCGCAGATAGCCCTCGTGTAGCTTTGCGCGAAATTCAAAAACAAAGAAACAGTAAATGTTGATTGGAGAAGTTAAAAAAGGGGTAAAAGCAATTCAAGTTAAAATGATCAGTTAAAAAAATTGAGTTTGTTTAACAAATGATGTTTGAGTTTCGTCTAACGTTATACGAAGGATCATCAGAGTTAAAAATGGTTGTTTTACTTCTAAGATTATGCCTTTTTTGTTGTTGTTGTTGCTATAGGAAATACGAATAATACGAACGCAACGAAATCCCACTATTAGATCAAACGAGAGTATTCCTAGAGATGGCGTTGGTTGATATTGGCTAGCTGATAAAAGGTAGTAGGATTGAGAATTTTCTGGAAAAAGTTACACGTTAGCAGTCCCTAATTTTTCTACTGATATACTAGAGAAAAGTTTGAAAACAGATAGTTTATCTTTAACATTGTAGTACGTTGTTCGTTGAAAACAGATAGTTTATCTTTAACATTGTAGTACGTTGTTCGTTGAAAACAGATAATCTACTGGACGTTTAGTGATACATGAAGAATTATTGAAATTGTTTTTATAATATATATACTACATCCTCTTCATACAAATCTATTAATTTTTCAGAGTTTACCTTTGATGTTAGATATCTTAATCCAGTGAGAACGTGAAAAAAAAGATGCTGTACGACTTGATTAAATTACTCTTATTTGAATGTTTACCTAGTTATATTTCGTATCAAATAACATTATGATTTAAATTCTTATTTCGTGTGTATGTTCACATGGTTTTTATATGCAGATAACGATACTTAAAAAAATCAAACATTTACCGAGAACGTAAAAAAGTTTACTATCTTTAGTTAGACAAAACCAACACCTATTTTTTTCCTGCATTTTTGAGCTTCACCCAACGAAGATTTTTGAGACATTCTATCCCCGTTTCCGACTGGACTGGCTTCATCAAATATTTCTTTGCTAGACGTCTCAGAGTTATTCACTTGAGTATGACCATGCTCTAGAAATGTAAGCGAACAACGTACTACAATGTTAAAGATAAATTATCTGTTTTGAACG